ATACAAAAACCATGAATAAGACATCACTCACTACGTCATAATGACGTCATAGTGAAAACAGTATGACGTCATAGTGAAAAATTGATAACAAGCAATCCCAACAGGAAGTGGGCTTATAAAATACCAGGTTATTAAATCAACAATATTCTACTTGCACCGATATAGAAATTGATGTGCACTATTTCACCTCATAACTTTATGAAAAGAGTAAGGAAATCGATATACAACCATAAATTATTAATTTCACATATATATTACATCGAAATATAAAAGATGTGTTTATTAGCTCTGAAATGCAATACTATCCTTCTCGTGAATTAGCTACATACTAGAATTACGAACAGTTTTTACATTATTCTTAGAATACAGTTTAATCAGTTTGAAAACAGATGGTTGACGATAAAAGTATGGTTTGATATATATCATGCTCTTATTTCTGAATATGCTGGACATAATGGTATAAAACGAGTTTCATCCTCAACTTCGTTTTTGTCTCACAGTCGTTGAGTTAAATAAAGGACGTGACAACTTCAATCGGCAATAGGGCTTTTCCTCTTTCTGCTCATTTTTGACTATTTTTTCTCGTTCGCTGAAAGGCCGAAAGGCCGTAATAGTTGACATAAAAGCTGTTAAATTAGATTAAATCAAATGTGTGATGTCACAAGTTTGTCCTCCAATGTCACATGGTCAAGACGGGTTTCTCCGAGGAAGAGGAAGATAGATTATATAAAGATAGAGTGGTATTTTCATAAGCTAAACAATTATTCTGAAATGACGCATGTTTTAGTCATTTTAAAGATAGATTTTAGCTTGAATGTTTTAATAGTTCGTTAATAGATTATATATATATAATTTTGATTTTTGTGAAAATGTAATACACTGTCCCTAATACCTCTAATCGTGAGACGTGTAGGTAAAAATGTAATACACTACCCCTAATACCCCTAATCGTGAGAATTGTAGGTAAAAATGTAACACACTACCCCTAATACCCATAATCGTGAGAATTGTAGGTAAAAATGTAACACACTACCCCTAATACCCATAATCGTGAGAATTGTAGGTAAAAATGTAACACACTACCCCTAATCGTGAGACGTGTAGGTAAAAATGTAATACACTACCCCTAATACCCCTAATCGTGAGAATTGTAGGTAAAAATGTAATGCACTAACCCTAATCGTGAGACGTGTAGGTAAAAATGTAATGCACTACCCCTAATACCCATAATCGTGAGAATTGTAGGTAAAAATGTAATGCACTAACCCTAATCGTGAGACGTGTAGGTAAAAATGTATTACACTACCCCTAATACCCATAATCGTGAGAATTGTAGGTAAAAATGTAATGCACTAACCCTAATCGTGAGACGTGTAGGTAAAAATGTAATGCACTACCCCTAATACCCATAATCGTGAGAATTGTAGGTAAAAATGTAATGCACTAACCCTAATCGTGAGACGTGTAGGTAAAAATGTATTACACTACCCCTAATACCCATAATCGTGAGAATTGTAGGTAAAAATGTAATGCACTACCCCTAATCGTGAGACGTGTAGGTAAAAATGTAATGCACTACCCCTAATCGTGAGACGTGTAGGTAAAAATGTAATGCACTACCCCTAATCGTGAGACGTGTAGGTAAAAATGTAATACACTACTCCTAATACCCCTAATCGTGAGACGTGTAGGTAAAAATGTAATACACCACCCCTAATCGTGAGACGTGTAGGTAAAAATGTAATACACTACTCCTAATACCCATAATCGTGAGAATTGTAGGTAAAAATGTAATACACCACCCCTAATCGTGAGACGTGTAGGTAAAAATGTAATACACCATACCTAATGGTGAGACGTGTAGGTCAAAATGTAATACACCACCCCTAAAACCCCTAATCGTGAGACGTGTAGGTAAAATGTAATACACTGTCCCTAATCGTGAGACGTGTAGGTAAAAATGTAATGCACTACCCCTAATACCCCTAATCGTGAGACCTGTAGGTAAAAATGTAATGCACTACCCCTAATCGTGAGACGTGTAGGTAAAAATGTAATACACTACCCCTAATCGTGAGACGTGTAGGTCAAAAGTTCATATGTATGTGAAAAATAATAGAATTTTCTGAAGAGACGGCAAAATCACATTTAAAAAACACACACGCTTGTTGTAATGAAAAGAATCGTTATGATTTATCAATATGATAAATACTGTTCATACCGTGATAATTACACAGTGTGTGGGAAGATTTTGTTTTTTCAATGTTTCAGAATCGAATGCAAATATAACTCAAATAATATCAGAAACTTTAACAGGGTTTCAAGAGGTTTGAAGAATTAGAAAAAATACAATATTTTATACAAATATTTGGGTCATAATTCTATAATTAAAACGACACTAGATATTTAACAAGATTTTGAGAGGTTCGGAGAATTTTTTCTGTCTTTTTCCACCAACATCTTATGACTTCTGTAAAGGAGTTCGATATCAAAGAAGGTAACATACCATTACGTCACGCTTTTGGGTCATTTTGAATGTGATTGACAGGTAAATATAAATTCTGTATACATCTTGATAGTTGGAGTTCAGGTGTGAAGGGAGGACCAGCCTACCTGCGGCGAGGAGAGAGATCACCCGTGGGGTTCCATTCACACCTACTTAAGTGACCAGTATACCGCCTCCTATTCGGCACGTGCACTACAAAGTGAGTCTGACAGGTGTGAATGCGTGATCCTGCATACCACACGTGTATCGGTTGTATACTATGTAGATGTTTGTGAGTTACGTAATTTCTCAAGTTACCTGGCCGGCAACTTCAAACGATCACAGGTAGCCGAATGGCGCGTGTTATTCTTCTTGACAGAGTTAAACGGTAGCTGATTGGTAAACCAATCAAATTACAGGTGTGCTGAGGATACTGAGGATAAAAGATCCTGAAGGCAAAATAAGACAAAACCATATACACCTGAATTCATCTACCGACTGGTTAGCTGATTTTGAAATGGAAACCTCTCTATGTATTAGCGACCCTTTCAGTGATGGTGCCATGATGAGGTATGTTCGTTATAATAGCTGAGAGTTGTTCACCACCATCTTAGTGGATAGGAGTAAATTTGTTTAAACGCAATATTAAGTGTATATTATAGCACACGCTTTGCTCATTTTTATTGAACCTGGTAACAATTAGGAACGTGAAAAACCAGCATAGCATGTATTTGTATATGTCCCTGTAACAAGCTTACGTGGAATTAGAGTTTTGGTTTCAAACCCCTGTGGTCAATACAGTTCAATTCTATACGTCGACGTGAAAAAAGAAATGCACAAATATATAGAAATTTTACAGAGAATTCCCAAAACGTGTCTAACCATCCGAAGCGTTTACGTTGGTCAATATATTTCTTAATCTTTAATTTTCAAGTCCCTGTGTCCTGATCTACACTATCTGTTCTCTTAACATTATAAGCTAAATTGATCTAGCTTGCAACAATTTCCAAGTCCCTGTGTCCTGATCTACACTATCTGTTCTCTTAACACTATAGGTTAAATTGATCAAACTTGTAACAATTTCTAAGTCCCTGTGTCCTGATCTACACTATCTGTTCTCATTACACTGCACGTTCTGTTAATCAAAATTGAATAATATGCACTCTAAATATCCACGTCACAATAAATTTTTAATAAAGTACTGTACTTTATTGAATGCACAAAATTGTTTTCAGTCAGGAAAAGCTCACACCTACTCAATCTGATATTACATCTTCCTGTTCTAGGAATCGAACCAGATATTAGATAGCTTTGCCAATATATTTAGTACCGTATCAAGTTATCAACTCTAGCTATACAGCAGAAATGTCTACATTTCCCAAAGTAAAGATATGTCTCCCATTTGTTCTTTTCTGCTTGTTTCCCGACACCAAACACCTTGTTATGAACATAAGGCTCCGTGCAACAAAAGTAAAGTAAAGATATGTCTCCCATTTGTTCTTTTCTGCTTGTTTCCCGACACCAAACACCTTGTTATGAACATAAGGCTCTGTGCAACAAAAGTAAAGTAAAGATATGTCTCCCATTTGTTCTTTTCTGCTTGTTTCCCGACACCAAACACCTTGTTATGAACATAAGGCTCTGTGCAACAAAAATGTTTGTTGATTATTAAATATTCATTACTAGAAAAATAAATGATAAAATTTCCCATGTTTTCACTCGGCTCTAAACCAACGATCAAGATTTGGGAGAGGAAATTGATAAATTTTCATGCAAAGTCATATGGATATTTTGACTATTGGAAAAAAGTGATTTAGATGATAATATTTGTTGACTGTTTAAATTGTTTTTCTTTTAATTCAATTATATACGGATCTGGTCAAACATGCATGATATTTTTTTGAAACATGGACCAGAGACATATATATGTGATATATACGTCTGTGCAGGGACTAATAGATATTTGTCATGGAAAACACAGCCTAAGTACAGGTTGTCATAACATTTGGATTATCTTGTTTTCGCTGTTTTGGCAAATTGTTCTAACCAGAAAAATAATAATGATACTAAAAATTAGACCCGGGCGTTCTCTCACTCCTGTACGCCCTCTTCTAAATAAACAATAACACTTTAAGTACAAATGTACTTGATCAGAAGATATAGATAAAGTATTTTACCGTTCAATATGGAACAGTATTATAAAAGTATCATGTATCATTGTATAATCATATTTAATCTGCTGTTGTTAGTGTTATTAACTGAATTTAATAATATATTCATGAATCTATACCAAAATGAAATAAACGTTAAAAAACGAAAGTGACGCGTGCTTTTAATTCCCAACATGACGGTACCTAATCGTGTTGAAAGTAAATACAGTCCTAGCCAATCAAAACTGCTAATACATCTCGGCCTCAATGAGCCAATATTTTCATGGTTAGCTCAGGCGATCACCTGTGCTAACTAGGTCATACCAAATAATCGAATTTTCATCGACTTCGGCGTTGCAAAATTATCCCACAAGTAATTAGAAGCGGACAGTTACTGTTGCCGTGTATATGACAACGTTAGATGGTCTACGAAAGCTGTAGGCCGGGACGAAATCGACCTTAGCTACACTAGACGGGTCAATTTTCTTGTTTCGCCATCGGCGTGGACGTTCTGAAAGTGTTTCACAGCTGTCCGACAATAACTCTACCAAACGGTAAGGTGTCTCGTTTGTCATACACGGTAAATTTATTATTTAGGATATGTCTAATTAACTAGCCACAGTGTTGCACTTCTCTGAATGTGCTTTATCGTGGTGCTTCTGCTATGCCTTATTTACAGGCAAAGTAAACAAATATCACTGATAGGCAAAGATGACGTAGAACTTCCAGGCTTTTTTTCTTGCTGATAAATATTATCAATATATATTTTTTTCTTCTAACTAGCAAGAATATGGACCCGGATGTCTCTGACTTTGGAACGGAGAATGTCGATTTCTTTGGACAGGACTCCAGAAAACCAAAGCCTAACAAGCGCCCCAGGAAAATCCCGAAAATGGTGAGGAGACTGTTTCATTCATAAAAATGCTAGAGGCCCCAGAAGGGATAGTGGAAATATCCTTTAAAGAAAAAATGTTTATTTTCATTTTTTTAAATAGAGGCGGTTTGTTATGCAGTTTTGAAAACAAAGTTTGTGGTTTTGAAATCAATAAAAACTATTATAAAAGAAAGGATCAATGAAAATGTTTATGATTCCCATACATGGACAGAGAAAAAAAAATACTTTCAGAAAGTAAAAAGTCCACCAAAGCTCATCATTATTAGGCATTTCAAAATTGCAAACAAAACAAAACTATTACCTAATTTGAATCCCAAGATACAGGGAAAAAAAGTGACAAAAGTATTTCTGATTGGTCCAAAGTTTGAAGATAAATCTAGACCGATTGAAATTGATAACTGTGTATTGTAATTCCGTCATCTTTAACATTTTTAATTCTTGTTGATCATTTTTTGTGGTATCATTTTAAACTTGAAAATTCAAACTGTTGTATGGCATGAATTGGAAATTTATGGTGTATTCAAAAAAAAAAGAAAAAAAGATTTTCCAAATCCGTAAAATACTGTTATGATTTAAATGTTGGTTTTACATCAAATCAAAAAGTAACAAATCTGCTCGCGGTATTTAGGATACAGATAGGGCTAGATAATGTGGTATTGATGTGGCCATCATTGATACGCGCAGATGTTACAACCAATCCATCGATTGATAAACTTGTTTGAATTATTAAAAGACAAGAAGAAATTGTTGTAAATGTATTCACTTTGATGAAAAATCTGATTGAGAATATGTCAGTTTCTAGACAGTCATGAACAACTGGTTCATTCAAAATCGTCCCTTTGTGTCCCGTCCTGCTTGGTCGTGACGCATCTCCGTTGCATGTCTGAATCAAAATCTGTTCTTAAATACATATCTTATCCAAATCATTGTTAAATCTGCCAAACCTCTCAACAAACATGGTTCATATTTACTTCATATTGTAACATCAAGTTCTACACCTTGTCATTAGTCAAGGTTAAAGGGTCAAAGGCCATATTTGACCACTTATGCCAATTCTTCAAACAATGATACAGATATACACAAGAGCTGGGCAATGTCTTAAAGGATTTAAGATTACATATTACTATCTGATTTCCTGAATGCCACATCAGGTGAAATGTACTGAAACAGGTGTATCAGCCAAAATTTTTTTGAATTTCACTTACAAATAAACTACATTTATATGTGTGGTTATCTGTTAAATATACATTAAATACGTTTAAGTGAAAATATTTAATGATATGTCATGATAAGCTGTTAAAAACTTGAATCATTTGATTATGATAAATTATTTGAAAATTGACTACAGGTGTTAACAGATAAGATTTAAACAAAATTATGTAATAATTTTTCGGAAGTGAATGTGATATTGGTAATGATTCGGTATAAACATTATTTACTGATTTACATACAGGAAGTCGTCTTCTCTAAGGGAGATAACCCAATTTTTGGGTTAATTGCATCCATCTTTGTAATCCAAGTGTGTTAGTTTTGAGTTGAATTATGACACATCTCCTAAATGTTCCGGAATGAATACCTGAAAAGGCCAATATCTGATAAAGCACACTGTGTGTCATATGATTTGTTCAAGATCAATTTTCTAACCAGATTTTATGCAAAGACATGATAATCTGGGTGATTTTACTATTTCTTCGCTGAATGATTCCTTTTTTGTTATATCAAAGAGATCACAGGTATCATTGATTCTGCAATAGTTTAATACTTCTCAACTTTAGATAGTATTATATGTCAAAAATATTGAGAAAAAAAGCAATATGTTATCACATCCATTAGTTTTGGAAGATTGAATTCACATCGTTTATCACTCACATAAACATTTTGGCTAGATTAGAGAGAATAAAAAGTAATTTCAAAACCGGAACTGTAAAATATAAGTGGCAATTTAGATTTACTGAGTAAATATAGTAAAATGTTGAGATCAGTTTTGACACATTCGTAAAATTTGAGATGTTTCAAATAAATTTCCATTTCAAACAAGTTAATCGTTCTCTAAGTTTTGAAATTCAAATTTTGCTGCACTGTAATGTAAAAGACAAAGTCGTGTGATGTTTTCCCAATTTTTCTCTTACTTTTATGAGACAATAACAGTAGTCAATATCAGACTTCCAGCCCAAGGTGATAATTGTAAGTGTAGGTGTTTACATACAATTTGAGTTAGGAATGACGAAGATCAGCTTTTCGTCTTCAAAGGATACTAACTTTTTTCTTGTCGACAATTCCACAGCATTTTTATGGTTAACATTCAAGGGGCTTCAAAAGATATGTCCTCGGTCGACTACAAAAAGAATTATTCAACTGTTTCCATTCAAAAGGCTAGGAATCTGTTCCACGTCCACACCAGAAAATAATTTCAATCGTTATATACCACACAAAGGCAGTAACGCTGGTTTCTGACGACTTGTGGAAAATTGATTAAGTAATTTACTCTTTGTTGGTTAATATTCTTCTATTGGAAATGCAGAGTTTTGCTTTTGGTAATTGATAGAGAACAATGGCCGTATTGACGAAGACCTAATATTATCATTTAGGTCAGCTGTACTGAATCCATATTCCCAAAGTATTGTTAGTTCACAAAATTCTATTTTCTTTAAAACTATAATGTGATATATCTACCCATATACCTTGATTTCAATACAAACATGTGTTTTTCAGTATGAAAATTTATGCAGCAGAGGGTCATTCACCAACAAAATTTTATTTCAGCGTAGAAAGTTCAGATCAAAAAATGATATTTTGAGATATTTCAAGCTTGAGTTCTGGGATGCTTTTGATTTTTCTTCACCATTTGGTAAAGCTTGTATCAATTATCTATATATTATTGTGTTAGTGTGTACAGGGTTACTGGCAAACAATGGGCAATGCTTCTGTCTTGTGGGTAACTGTGTGAAAAAGTCGAAATGCTAGGAATTAAGCAGAGAGACATATTAATTGCTGTGGGAATAACGCAAGACTTAATCAAAGTTATGATATAAAACGGAGAGATCCCCACATGTAAGTAATACTTAATTTATTAGGATAATTAGGAGTCAAGAAAGGAGACAGTTGCTTAATTCAGTGGTATTAATTAGCATGGGAAAAATTCTTGAGGAATGTGTTACCATAGTACAAATCCTCACACAGAAAGGATCCATCCTATAGTTGAAAGCATTTGTACAGAATACAGACAGATTTGAGGTCAATTACAAGCGTTTGTATGATGCATATAATATTGGACAAGTATAAACCAATGTTAGAATATTCTTTGTTGCCATTGACTGACTTATCCTTGGATAATTTTAGTTGGTAGGGAAGGATAATATAATTTCATGTTGGAAAAAAAAAGATTTTATGTTTGTTTTTGCCCTGGTCCTAATTCAGAGACGTTGTTTTAGTGATGGGAAAAGTAAGTAGGAAGTTATTACACTGGAAACTGAAGGCAACATTTGCTGCACTAATTATATAAATAAAAAAAATGGAATGTTAAAATAAGAATTAAATTCATCGTAAAATTATTTCAGTCGGAGCACTACTGAGTGAAAATCCTAGTTGGTCAGGTCATTTGATGTTTTAAAATCTTGAGATAATTCCCAATAAGTTTATCTTATGATGATTTAATGTCTGATAAGCCCACCCATAGTGATTGAATCATGCTTTGATGCATCTTCCTGCAATAAACCTGCTCTCAACAGTCGACAGCTTTTGATTCACCCCGTTGACTTATTACAACATAACACTATCACAGACTCATGGCTGACAGATCCTTGCAAATTAAAGACATAATTAAGATCAGATCCATTGTACCATTCTATACTCTAACAAAGAATGAAATAATTCTCTCCAACAAAAGTGTTAAAAAAGTTGGAACTCTTTCTCAATGAAGACACAAAACAGCGTGAAGTCTCTTCACCCTTAATTTTATACAGATTATTTTTTTTTCCTTTTAAATAAAGATTTAAAAACAAGCATTTTTCATATGGGGCTCACCAGTGTTTCATCAGAAGCATGTTGCATTTATTTTTCGGTGTATTGCATCAGAAAAGAACTTGTTGTTTATTTGTGGTAATTTTGTTTTCATTGGTGCAGAAGTATAATTACATTAACTCTGTACATTAACATGGGCAGTCTTTTACTGATGTCAGGGTAGAAATTAAACTGTGATTATCACAGCCTGGGGAGAGACACACGTGTCATAACATTTTGAGTAACAGCTAAACGAAACAGTTTAAAAGTTCAAGAGTTTTGCAAACATGTTGGCAGGCTATAGGTATAGGAGATAAACTGCCGAACAGGTAAAATAGCCAGATTGATAGCGTTATGGTAACAAACGGTTGGTGGGGTCTATTTTTGGAATATCCAGGTAACAGTATTACTGGTTTAATCTGAACTGTGTGACTCATGTACCTGTATATTCACTTATTGATACCTGCGTAAAAAATTACGCCAATCCGGATTTTGAAAATTGAACGTTATATTTTCTTAGATGTATTTTTAGGATTGTCCTTGTGCATGTAGGGCTTAGCGTGTATGTAAATGTGATCACAACAAGTTGTTGGTTTTCTGTTAGTCATGAGGGAGTTTAAGGTAAGACACGTAAAACTCTGTATTAAAAAGAGCTAGCAGGTAAAAATTTCAGGTACCTAATAATGGGATACAGTAGCAGTTTTTGTTTTTAGGAAAGAGATATTTAAATTTGAAAAAAAAACTAAAGAAAGAAAACAAAAAAAAACTGATGCTGAGTCTTTATAAATTGACCTGGTTGGAGTTTGCTATTTTATCAGTAATTTGTTATTTGAAAGTTGTTGGATTTGTCGCTTGATAAATCTGGGTTAAAAAAAACTTTAGGAAAAGGGATAGTAGATTTTATCCATGTCCAAATCTATTAAAAATATTTCAGATAAATCGTTAGACACGATTAACAGAATATCTTCTTATTTGGTCTCTTAATTTGAACGGAGTAAAATCCCAGCAATACTCAGGGTTGTTCGGTGACCACTTAGTAGGGTGAATATAGTTCCATCCATTATGTCTTATTCATAAAGACTATCTGTGGTGTTGTTTTGCACTTTATGATTTTCCTATCTATAATATGCAAAATACATCCTTTGAATGGAAACTGCCCCCAAAGCAATAATCTTTTAGCATCCTCTCTCTTCCTTGATTGTCATATGCTGTCTTAGTTGTCATTGTATGGTAATGGATTTCAGTCTTATTTCACAGTGCATGAGGAAAGTTAGTAGGACTTTTCCAGTTGCATTAAAAAGAACCTTTTGAATATTAATTACTTTGTAAATTTGTATTTCAGTTGACCTTTGATCCCCAGCTCACCAGGGAGATGGAACAAGCACCGTGCCTATTTTCCCGCCAGGATAGCCTTGATGACCACAGAGTGCCCTCCCTTGGAAATATACAGAAAGTTCCGTCCCTCTCTGAATCGGAGATGTCTGATGAAGGTTCAGGTGAGCTCCAAACTTTACATCTTATCACTTTATGTGTACCATATCAAACGGACATTCGCGAATAGATCAATGACATAAACACATCATCAGGGAACTTCCTTGTTGCAAAAATACAGGTGTCTTGTTTCACCCACAACCATACTGACTCCTAATTGATGTGCATGGAGAAGAAAGAGTTGGAAAATGATATGTTGTTTTATATGTGACTTTTATTTACAGCTTAGTAATAGTAGGAGTTGGTTGTTTTATCTTTTCCTTGCAACGCAAAAAATATTTTCACCATTGTGTTTTGAAACTGGACAACAAATGTGATATTATGAGGATTTAAATTCAACAGGCATGATCTAAAACACATACTACATTTGATGTATAGATGAAGAGAGATTAATTTTTGTATATACTTTACACTACCAAACAATGTAGAAATAAGTAGGATCCCTTAATTAATGACATTAAATGGAATGTTCTGTACAGAATTATACAAATTGAAACTTTCCGACATGATAATAAAAAAAATAATGATATTAAGTGAAATTTTCTAAAAAATATGATATTAAATGGAATTTTCTGAAAATATCACTTTAACTGGTCATTAACAGAATCTTTTTAACAATTATTTCATTTTCTTAATTATTTTTGTTGTTTTTATGGGTATTCTTAATCTACAAATTCATTTGTCCACAAATTGTTAAAATTAGTAGATTGAACCCTAAAATGTATATGATTTTACAGAATATAAATACATATTAAATGGATATATTTCACATATTTGCCCCAAGTAGAAAGATATATAAGATAGATGAGGTCACCGGGATTTCTGTAGACTCATGGTTTAAATATAGTACTGACCAGTAGAGGTGTATAATATATTGCAGTCGTCTGGTCAGTTATGTCCATCCATCAATCAGTCATAGTCTGATACACGGAACTATGATCCTTCAAGATTTAACAGATGGACCTCTCACCTGTCCGAAGCTCGTTAGTAACTTTACAGCATACCTGTATATCAACCAAAACTCCCCATGAAATAAAATATTGATGAACTTGAATCTCCAGATATGTTTGACTTGATAAAGAAAAAAATGACATTTGGGTATTTGGTTGTATTCTTTCGAATTATAATTTTGTTTTGTTTTACAAGGGAGGAGGGGGTTGGGGAAGGAGAAAGGGAGGTAATCATGTAATGACCTGGTCTTACATGAGTTCTGTTCCAGGTAGGACAGATGAAAGTAAGGTTGGAATAAAAGTTTTTGTCTTACAAGGGGGGAGGGTGGGGGGGGGGGGGAAGGAGAAAGGGAGGTAATCATGTAATGACCTGGTCTTACATGGGTTCTGTTCCAGGTAGGACAGATGAAAGTTAGGTTGGAATGATTAAAACATTAACCTCTTCACCTAGAGCTGTCTACATTGTAGTCTCTGAGTGACATAAGGATCACTTTCCTTTGTAATAACTGACTTTGACAACAGCACAGTAGTTAGATACCAAAATTTATATAATGATTTGGTAGCCTCAGATTAGCCCACGGTAAACTGTGCTGTCTGTATATTACAAAACTAGATGATTATTTCATCAAGCCAGAACTTCTCCTTATCTTTGGCCCAGTATTGATGTGTAAATCTGTTGCATGTTATGTCAATACCGACTTTGATGGATGTAGGGAGACGTTGTGAGATCTAAAGAGACAATGCCTGGGTCTGTTTGAGATTAAACAAATGTTTTAGGTAAACCATCACGAATCCTATTTATTATGTAGACAGAAATGTGAATTCCAACACAAAAGTACAATAGATATATTGTCAATGATGTCACGAAAGAAAATTTTTATCTTTGAAGCTTTGTCTTTCCTAAAACAAGTTTTAATTTTCAAAGAACAGCATGACGATTTCTATATATGTATTGGCTTTTTGAGTTTTTTTTACAATATACACACTATGCAAATTAAACATTTAGTTGGTTTAGTGGTCAAAATAAGGTTTAATGCATGAAATGTGTTTGCTCTTTAAACATGTATCAAAATATCAGCATTTATTGATATAATAAACCGAACCTTTGATGCACAAATTTAGCGTCCTACAGTATCAGTGCTGACATATATAATCATATGTTACTTCTCTTAATGGTGGGAGATAGTGTTATTCAGTACACACTATCACAAATGGTTCACTGGGCCAGAGGCCTCAATCGGGGAATTTAGTTTGTCAATGTAGGACAAATTAAAAAGAGGCACCAGAAGGGTTGAAATAAAAAGTTATGGGATGTCAGTAAAATAAGTGGTGTGTTTTATTAGAATTAGTAACAAAATGTTTAATAAACTTTGAAAGAGAAGGACAATTGATTTGAAAGTCTTGAAATTTTACATTAAAGGAATAGCCTTATGATAAAAGAATGGGAAATTTGTGATGGGTTTCAAAATGATTGCATCAATAATTTCTTGTATTGATATGAAGATCAAAATATGTATTCAACATTTAAGTTATTCAAGAATTATCAAATTGTCAAATTTCATAATGATTTAATGAGATAAATGATTAACATTAAATGTTAGAATTATCTCCCTTGTTAACCTTGTCAATTAGGGCATACTTGATTCTTAAATGTAAGACTAGTATTTTTTCATGCTAAACAAAGAAAAGATGGTGAGGTTTTCTCTGATGTTATTTAAACTTTTGACAGAAAGTTGTATACATGTATTTTTCACAATTTTTCCATTGATGGGTGAATGATTAAGGCATCTGGCTCTCTTTATTACAAGCCCTTTACCTCTGGGTGTGGGTTCAAGGCCTATGTGGGGCAGTCACAAAGTTCTGGCCACAGGTCGGTGGTTTTTTCCAGGAATTCGGGATTTCCCACACAACCCCAACCTGACATGTCCTGAAATAACCCTGACTATTAATAGGACATCATTCAACTATACCTTAACCTTTGTTTTACACCAACAAGAGAATTTGATCTCAGACTAGAATGTTGATGTCTCGAGCAAAAGCTGATAAAACAACATTGTCTATAGATATTTGATGGCTAATGAAACCTTGGACTTTCTCCATCTTCCCATTTTACTTCATTATTAAAACTAGTGTGCATGTACAACAGTGGCAGGTCTTCTTGAAGGGGATAGAGATAAAAAAAAAGGTAGGAGGAGGGGTATTTTCACGGTCAAGTCAGTAATTCTGATATTTTTCCAACTGTATTTGCAAGATGAAGGATTTTGTTGCTCTGTAAATAGTCTCAACATCCTTTTACTGCAAGCCAGAAAATATAAAAAATTCAAAAATAATTATTTGTGTTGATGTAGGTATATCATTATGTACCATTCTGACACAATTTTACTTATATTTTTTATATTTCTATACAGTGTTAAAAATTCTATTCTAAAATTTTAAATATTACACAAAATAAAAAAAAAACTTGAAATATCCCCTATGTGCCTTATATGGCAAATGAATTCCCTTTGGGTACCTTAAAAAAGTGTTGGCTGTTTTTATGAATGAAATCTATGCAGTCATATGATAGAAAAGAAAGTTTTTTTCTGTTGATAAGGTTATTGTTATATTCCTAGTGTATAGCAGTACATTTGTCTAGTTTGGTGTCAATCTAGCTGCTCAGTTGGGAGAGAAATTACATTTGAAATTGATCACAGTAATGGTATACTTCAAAGAAATATCAGTTCAGTAAATTTTATCCGCTTGAGTGCTTAAACAAATTTAAAGTAGCGGAATCATGATAACTAGGGTTCAGCATTTTGTTTCTTTTCATTTTTTAGCGCAAATTATGGTTTGATTTAAGATAGAGGACACAGCTGACTTTTTTTTGCGGAAAATTACACAATGATTTTAGATAGTAAACCGAATGTACACTTTTACACACAAAATTGTATTTTATATATTTGAAAAGGATGTTTTTGTCCATTAATTTGTGTAAGGGGTGAGAAAAGATCGCTTTGATAATCAGGTAAAATATTCTAGTGACATATCGTGATCATTTGATGTCGGTGAAGTAACATTTATTTCTGACAGACAGACAGATAAATCACAAAATTTACTGTAAAATTACACTGAATTAAATAAGTAATGAAATTTTATTTGATAGTTCAAATTTTAAAGTTTACGAAGTTCAATTTCATTACATCTCCATAGATGTTTTTTCAAACTGTGTAAATGCAATTTTGTTTTCATCGTATCTTCATGATGATAAATGTTATCTAAGTAAAGATATTTTACAACAAAAAAGATAAAATTTAAAGATTTCATTCTTTTGCAAGTTTACAAAGGGTGCTATTGAATGAGTTCTATACTAAAGTCTTGTTGTGTTGAATTTTATTGCAGCTTTTAATGACAAATGTTCTATTGGAGCCAGTTAGATGTTAATGTGTCTCCACACTACTTAGACATGGTAATAACATATCTTTATCAATAATTAGGTGTAAACTTAATATAACGAATAAAATTATATCAAACATGACAAATTCCAGACATGTTCACAGAATCCTATCGATCAGAATTCATTTGAATGCAGCTTCCACATTGTGTGAAGAAAATTTATGTTCAAATTTGGCGTCGCAAGAATTGAATTATATTCAGATGAGGACAATTTTGGCTATGATTGAGTTGACAATTAAGAGTTACGCTATATTGTAGGCCTGATGCTTTTGATATAAATATATGAAGATAGAGCTAACCGTTGAAAAAAAAATTCCCAAAAGTTCAGAATATTAAGGAAAATACATTAAATACATTAAAAAAAGTATTAGAGAGTTCTTCCAATAATTTATACTCATGAACCTGTTTTGGAAAACAGTAACTTGTTTTGGTAAATACTAAGATAGCTGCTTATCTCAAACAGTGTTTATGAAATTAATATTGATGTTTGATATTTTCACTCCTTACTGACCCTCTGTACTGTCTTTCAAACTTATCACTTTCTAAAATATATCTGATGTTTTGACTTTTTGAAAAAAAAAATTATAAAACTGTTTGAATTTTAAATAATCTTATACATAACT